GTACTTTTGTCTATATTCCGTAACTATCATGTGTATGGAGGGCTTATTTCGTGTTGATGCAAAAATGGGACAACATGCACTAATGGTAATAATTACGACATGTGTTTAGTACTATGCTTCCTTTATTGGTTTGTTGGTTTTGTTTTGGTGTGGTATGCATGTGGTTTATAATTTTGTTATAGATATGTCATACTAACTAAAGAATTTTTATGTCTATTTTGCATAGTGTACCAAAAATGAATCATTAATATTTTTCAATAAAAACCCTATAAGATATGACTTATAATTTTTTTTAATATTTTTCCCGATTTCCACTCATTTGAAAAATTATAACCCTATTTTTTAAATAAAATTCATTAATTCATGCATTTAAGGGTTAAAAAAAATGTTTATACTTATCTCCTAGAAATCTAGGCGATCTAATACCTCGATAAAATAAAAGTGATTTGAACTAATTTGAAATAAGTTATTCCGTCTGAAAAGCTCTTGACATGCTGACAAAGCGTCTGACATGCTCTTCGACGCGAGCGTAAATTACTTCATTTGGATAAAGAATTTCATTATCGTCGTGGTCCATGAATTTTGGGTCACACTCTGTATTATTTTTTACCGCAATACGAAGTCTGTGTGAAAAAATGCCTCTGAATAATATTTTCTGTTATATTTACGCCCCGGGAATCTCGCTGGGCTGCATTCAATTTCTGATATTATAACGATAAAAATTTATTTTTGCTGCCTCTCGGACGGAAATATAAATTCCTACTTGATTTCATTTAATTCCTCCATTTATAAATTCAATGTTAGCTTTATTTTTATATTATCGTATTATATATTCGTTCCGCTAATTATTTGAAATACGAACGTAATTCCTTTAAACGTTTTTAAACCAAATAAATATCGTAACCATGGAGGTTCATGCAGAATATTTTGCCAGATTTCAAAGGCATTGAAATTACATATTTTGCTCATCAAAGGTTTCAATGCTTTAAAAATATCGTCGCACTTCATGCGGACGGATGCTTTTCACGATTGAATGGCAGCCAATTACTGCGTCATTCAAATCTTCCGGCACCAGTTTTTCGGCACCACCGGTTTTTAACCATTTCTTTCGAATCGAGAGTTCCTCTACTTCAGCCATATATTAGGAATAGCTAGAAATATGAACTGGTTGCTAAAAGTGCTACAAGTTGAAATTTCGCTAAAAACATAAAATTTCGTTAGTGATTGTATCTGATACTTCGGAAACGCAGTTACACGTGTTAGGCTTATTATCTAATGTCTTTTATTTATTGGTTTATATAACAAAATGTTAAATAAAATAATACAAAATTATGAAATAAAATTACTATACAAAATGATGCGTTGATTTCGATATTCTGCGAAGCAATTTCTTTCCTGAAGCAAAGGTGAACATTGCACACAGTACATATATTATACGTCCTATTTTCTATGGGGCGTTTATCACAATTCGCACATCTTTTCATTTTTCTCGCTTTCTGCACGTTGCGTGCTGACAAATTGCGTTTTGTATAAAATATAACCAATAATTAAATACGGCAATCACACCAATTTCAAAATACGGAAAAATGTTTCCCTTAGTCGTGAAGGGGTTGAATGCAGAATCTAGCGCTTAACTAGAATTTAACTAGAATTAATCTAAAATTTAACTAATTAGACGTAACCATACCATTATCCGAACACTCATATTGTCCAATCGGTTCAAAAATAAACGAGTTTCTCCTGTACGTTTTATAGAATATTGTACCACGAACACTGTGACCGGAACAGACGCTAACAGCGTCCGTGTTAAATCGGCGCCGCAAAGTGTATCAATGCCAACAAGAAAATCACGGATCCAATTTTCGACGCGCAGACACTGCAACGCACCGCGCGATGGGGACAAAAGTGCCGTCACGAGCCGATCGAGGAATCGCGTCAACG